AATCTTGTTGCTTTGTACATTAATGGTCCAGAAGGGGAGGCCTTTTATTAGTTATATACTTGTTACCAGAAAACTGGCACCAGTCATTATTTACTTCCAACTATTTGGGATTATGTTAATCTAATGATCATCAAATTATGTAAAACTTGTAAATTTCTAATAAAGCAATGGGTTTCCAAACAGGGTAAAGATTAGAAATTGGGATTACGTGAATCTAATAATCCGACATGAATTTCCAACCACTGATTTTTCACTGCCATTCTTCTGATACAACTTTCATAACTTGGAAACTGATTAAGGCAGGCAGAAAGAGACAATAGCTAGCTAGGACTCTAGGAGACGTCATACCGCATACGGCTTTGTGGCTCTTAGATAAACATAAACTTCAAGTGGGCTCATCCCTCACTATCAATCATCAATTGGTTCAGATTTTTACAGATTTTGGGGCCATTGAAATAATGAATGCATTTTTGTTGTCACTTATGCATATACGTGGTTATAATCACGTGTTATATATAATAAATATTTTAAATTAAATATCCGATGAATATTGGAATATGCAGAAGGTTTTGGTGGGCTAAAATTGAGTGGTAAAACAGACGAGTACATGGGTTTTGATCAAGTATATTGGAATATAGTAAGGAAACAAAATGGACTTCTCAACATGAAGTTTATTATAGCTGTCACGACAGGGCCAAGTGGACTCGTGTTGTAATTGATCACGGTTATTATTATTATTATTATTATTATTTTATAACAATAATTTTCATCTAATTTCAATTGGTTTGCTTATCTTTCCTTGCCTGTTGTTTTCGTTAAAACGTTAACTTATCAACAGAAAGACATCATATGAGTATGACATACAGAATTAGTCAGAGACAGGACATGGACACTGAGTAAGAAATAAACCATTTCAGGTTTCGTTCGGTGAGGATCGTGATTGTTCCATTCACTGAATAGTTGACACATAGCGATCAAAATAAATGAATTGTTATAGTTTTTTATGAACACTAAAAGCAGAAAAATGGAGCAATTGTGATCAATGAATGTTCACCGTATAGATATATTATTTTTTAGTATCAGTGATAATCTACACTACAGGGAAGGGGGGTTTCACGCATGCGTATACCGCGAGGGTTTGAACCTGAAACTCCTGAACTCCATTCGCCACCATATAGATATTATAAGAGGGATTCTGATGTAGGACGAAATATGGTCACTTATGACACTAGGAAAAGAAGGAAGGCGTATCGTTGGGATTTTCTAATTGATTGAAGAAGAATTGGAGTGAAGAAGAATTGGAGCGAAGAAGTGAAAAGGGACATAGCAGGAATTTGCAGATTTGGCGTCCGAGCTCCGATTAGGACGCAAAATACCATTTCGGAAAGGGAACGACGCCACGAGTCAAACTCACAGCTTTGCTGTGATGTATGATGGATTTTGGCATTCTGAGGTCGTTTGGCCTTCCAAAACCGCATTCAAAGTTTCGTAGTTAATTTTCGGAATAAATTCAGTTTTTCAGTTTTTCAGTTTTAATGTAATAACTCCCCTAGCAGTTACAAGGGTTGAGAGTTGTGTATTTAGG